AGCTGGAACTGTGCCCGCTCAAGTATGACGCCAGCCTTACCACAGCCATCCTGCGGTACCTTGCGAAAGTCCGCTAGATATCCGATTATCGGCAGTCATGGTGTACTCTCAATTATTGTTCTGTTCTGAAGCTTTTTTTCGGAACGGTTGTATCAGTCCCATTGCAGAGTCGTGCCAACAGCTGAGGCGGAGACTGTATTGAATCTAGTCAACTTCGTCGAACGATTAGGATCATCCACCGATGCAGGGGTTGATTGCGTTTGAACTTGTCGCAAAGGTAACATGTATGAGTCAAATTCCAGTTACGTGGTATCGCATCTTCACTATCTATGCGTAAGCTCATTCATATCATCAGAAGAGACTCACTCCATCACGGGGAACTCAGAGAGCTCATTGAAAATGCTGCACTGGCAAAGTAGGTTTAGAATGGCTCATTTGCTGTTAGTATAAGGCAGGATCTTCCAAAGATACACCTAGAAATTGCTGCATTGCAGATTCCTTCCTTCGATCGTACGATTATCCTTCTACTCCGAATTGGACAAGACTAATTTTAGTACCAAAGATACTCTGGAAGGTTCGGTAATTGCATTTTTTTCTATGAAAACTTGGGCATTTTTTACAGATTTCTCTGACGACCTGTCTCATCTGCTGGGTCAAAGTAACAAAAATGGGAATGCGGCAATGATACCAGACATTCTTTTTTACGATAACAAGGAGGCTAGTGCATTCTTTGGACCTGTGCCAGTTTTAAAATCGGCTTCTTCCTTTACTTCCGCCGCAACGTACCTAGGATATATCGTTTTAGCACATGAACGTCATCCAGAATATGGCTCGTGACATGAGATTAGGAGCGCATCTTCTGCTAATCGGCAATCAAGGAGTGGGGAAAAATAAGATCACAGATCGATTCCTCCAACTTATTCAAAGGCCTAGGCAGTACATGCAGTTGCATCGGTAAATCTCCACGTTCTCATCTCATGTATCGCTGAGGGACTGGTTTTTTCTAATGATGATATTAGGGATACCACAGTGGAAGCACTTACTATGCAAACCACAGTGGAGAATGGAGTTTTGCGATACCAAGACTCAGCACTGGTTCGTGCTGCTAAAGCGGGTCACGTCCTTGTGGTTGATGAAGCTGACAAAGCACCGTTACACGTGATCGCTCTCTTCAAAAGCTTGCTCGATTCCGGTGAGTGATTAGCCAGCCTGATTCAGTGTCCTCAAGTGTCCACAAGGAACGATAATTGATGACCGTGACCATCCGCAGTGTGATGCAGATCTTTAGATGCCATTTCCCTCCTTTCTAACTACTGCCGGCGCCAATACCGTCTTTCATGTTAGACCTACCTAGGGCAAACCCTCTATTCCACAAATTCCGCAATGGTCAGGGCGTAATGGGATTTCATTTCTAATTTCAATTCAGTCCCCGCTTTTTCTCATCAGTCGTAACAGCGTACTTGGCGAATGCGCGAAGGCGTACTTCTTTGC